CACTTCAACATTCCCCAGGGCTTAATAAGCACAGGAAATTGCAAGACATACTGCTGTGGCAGGAGAACATGCAGGGAGGGGAAACTGCCTGCTGCCGGGCAGCTCTGGCTCAGTTGCCTCTTGTGTCCCTGTCCAGTACAGGTTAAACTGCCTGAGCCCTGACATTTTTTTTTTAAAGGGAGAAGCTGAAAAAAGGGAAACTACTCCTGTTCTTCAAAAAGTGATTGAGAAGCCACCTGAGTAACAAGGTAGTACAGCTATTTTCTCCTTACCACTTGCAAATCCTGCCTTAGTTCCTGTGTGTGGGCAGCCTTAGGAGATGAGGAATCAAACTGGTAAATGTTATGAAATGTCCCTCCCAAAAAAGTCAGAGAGTGTTTAAATCTATTATGTAAGTTTGTTTCTTGCTTGTCTTTCATGTTTCTGCTAGCGTAAGGGAGATAATTTGCTGGCTAAAAAAAGCAGCTTTTGATACCCACAAAAATGCACACCTTTTCTTGAATGCTCACTTGGAAACTTGTTCATCCTCTCCCTTGCCAGCAGATCCTCATATTCCTTCCTTTCTGATCCCAAGGGATAAGGTGCAGCCTGAACTGAGGGATGAACATCCGAGCTACAAAAAGCATTACTGCTACATAAGTGGGCAACCATCAACAACCTGTATGTGGTCAGCAAAGTTTGAGTTCAAAACACTTTTGCAATTCTATGCAGCTTTTCCAGATTCACTGGAAAAGTGAAACATGCAGAACTTTCCGTGATTATTGCAAGAAAAACCATGCTTGGAGTTATGTGTTCTAGTTTGGTTTGGTGAGTTTTTTGGTAACAGGGGAAGGGCCCCAGGAGCGGCTCCCCAGAAGCTGAGAAGCTCCCCCTGCTCCAAAACCCAGCCGAAGATCCATTAGAAGGACAATAGATTCGCCTCAGCGATTAACATATAAAAGAACGGCTATAACACCTGAGCAGAGAGGCACTTGGGGGAGAAGAGCTGTGCTGGAGGAGGAGAGTGGGACTGGTGGTTGGTGAGGAAGAAGGGGAAGAAGGTGCCCTAGCAGAAGTTTGCCCAAACCACGACATTATGACACATGAAAAAAGGTATCTCACATTCACAGGTAGCTGTAAATTGTTGTCGTTCCGTATTCCAATCAGCTGCAAAAAGTTTGTTTGGTACTTAAAATTTATAAGCTACCTAGAATATTCCAATCAGCTGCAAAAAGTTTGGTACTTAAAATTTATAAGCTACCTAGACAATTGAATTTATTACCATAATTATGCATAAATCCCTTTTTTCTCCAGTTCCCCTGCAATCACGAACCCACAGGAAGGGGTGCCGGGGTGAGGCTGACTGGGGCAGTTAAATGTCTACAGGTACCCTGACAGCAGCCTCCCCTCCTTGTATGCCCCACATTCTCCCAAAAACAGGGTTTTAAGGAGTACCTGCTCTGGAAGGCCTGAATCTGAGCTGGAGCATGCACCTTGACTGGTTTTTGGGCTTGCTCCTTGGGGTGGCAGCCCTGCTGGTAGGCAGGAAGGGAGCTTCCCCAAGGTAGAATCCAAAATTTGCTTTGCCAGAGTCCTCAGGTCATTTGCTTGCTAGCTGATGTGATAAGGCTCTGTTAAAAAATAAACCCTCAGATTTATTAGGTGTTGTCATAACATGCTAATGCCGCCTTTATCCAATAAGTAGGACCTGAGACACCAAAACTGGCTGGTTCTCAAGCCATGCAGAAGGGTGGCAGGAGATGCTTTGTCCGAGGCTGCACAAGGCGATGCCGAAGTGCAGCACAGAAAGGCAGCAGCCTGCCACCCTCTCCTCTGCTCCTTTCACCTCCAGTTGCACCTCTGCCTCACACATCCCACCTCCACTTCTGACCACACACTGATCTTCCTGCGGGGGAGCTTCTGCTTATTCCCACCGTGTCCTCAAACCGTGCAATATCACCCAGCTTACTTGCAGGCAAACTTCCCAGTCACGTCACCTTTGGATGAACTCAAACTGAAGTTTACACCCTCTAAAGCTAATAATTATATATGATTGCATTGCTTATAGCAAAAATTCAATTTTTCTGGTTCTGCTTGTTTATATTGGATATACAGCAGTAGCTCCTCTAGCAGTCTTTTCATTTTCTTCTTTTCCCTTGTTTTGATAGGCAAAAAAGTCTTAAACAGATTATCTTGATGGATTACCCATCTGTTATTCTCTGTTTACCCAGGTTTAGGGCAGGAAAATCCTGCAGATCTAGGTAACCCACGTGTGAATTTACAGACTGAGAATTACTTTTGAAGTTTTCTATCCTGTGCACTACAAATGTCATCAACACCCCTCCTCTTTGACTCTTACTGCAGCTGCACTCTCCTAGAGGGAGGCTTTTCATAGGTTTAATTTACATTTTTAATCCAGTATCTTGCTTTGATGTGGGGTACAGGGTAAATCTTTCCATTTGGAATATTATGTACCTGTAGTGAATACTAAAGTATCTAATGAATAAAGTCTTTCTAATAAATGGTGTTCAGTAGAGATCAGACTCAGGGGGAAGAAAGACCACTCCCCATTCCTCTCCTCTTCCCTTCCTTCAAAGAAAGAAAAAACCCAGCATGTCTGAAAAGACAGCAATACCTTTCAGGCCAGCAAGAAAACCAAGCAGAAACCCTTCCCCGCACAGCAGAAATCCCAAATGGAGTCCTATACATTTCCTAACCTGTAAACGTATCCTTATTCCTGTTTTTGTGCCCCATGGCTCGCAGGTGCTGCCTCCCCAGGAGCCTTCTCCAGGCTCAGTGCAGCCCTCTTGGCATACTTTCTTTCCAGGCTTTGAGACTGCCAGCACTGGCAAGGACTGTGAGGTCACATCCAGAAATGGGCTTGCTTGGGCAACCACTATCACATTTCCCTTTTCTAGCACTTAGAATAGTGGAATCATAGAATATGCTGAGTTGGAGGGATCCATCAGGATTATTGAGTCCAACTTCTGTCCCTGTGTAGGGCATCCCAAGAATCACACCATGTGCCTAAGAACATCGTCCAAACCCTTCTTGAACTCAGGCAGGATTGGTGCTGTGACCACTTCCCTGGGGAGCTGGTTCCAGTGCTCAGCCACCCTCTGGGTGAAAAACCTTTTCCTGATATCCAACCTAAACCTCCCCTCAGTCAGCTTCCTGCCATTTTCCCAAGTCCTGTCATTGGTCACAGCAGTGAAAAGGTCAGTACCTGCCCCATCTCTTCCCCTTGTGAGAGAGCCATAGACTGCAGTGAGGTCACCCCTCAGCCTCCTCCCCAAGTGACCTCATCTGCTCCTCGTAAGTCATCCCTTCCAGACCCTTTGCCATCCTCATGGCTCTCCTTTGGACACTCTCCAATAGTTTGATGTCCTTTTTGTATTGTGGTGCCCAAAACTGCAGGCAGTGCTCAAGGTGAGGCTGCACTAGTACAGAGTAGAGCAGGGCAATCACCTCCCTTGACCAGCTGGCAATGCTCTGCTTGATGGACATGGTTGGCCCTCCTGGCTGCCAGGGCACACTGCTGGCTCATCTTCAGTGCCATCAGCCAGGACCCGCAGGTCCCTCTCTGCCATGCTGCTCTCCAGCATTACTTCAGTAATACTTCCCTAGAAATTAGCTCAGGTGAGTTTTATTCAGGGAAAGCTTATAAAGCTCAACCCTCCATTTCTGCAACCCTTACAGTTGGAGAAACCAGCTCTGGAGAGGAAGGGACAGACAAAAGGGGAAGGACCTTCTTCAGCATCCCTGTTTAAATCACAGCCTACCTCATGCAGTGCATGAAAAATTGCAATTTTTTTCTTCTACTTTGTGCTATATAGGTATATAGGTCAACTCTCTTCATACAGTTGGGTAATAGTCTTACTGCAGCTTCATGTAGAAAAGTTTATTTTCTTAAAAATATATATATTAAAAAAATAAAAATGAATTAATGTTTTCAGTGGAGTTTAGCCTCCAGAAATTGGAGAGGGCTCACACTACGTGACTAGACAGCATTACATAAACCCTCTGCAAGTACTCCATGGTCCACAAACCACAGTTTAAAACTTATGCAGAGCTGACCATACTTACTGAAAAGAAAAATATAACAGAGCCTCCTCTATTCATAACCAGATGGCTTGAGTGCAGTGAGGTGATCAGATTTTTTAGGTCAGAGATGATAATAACAGAAAATACAGATAGCCAGTGCTTCTAAAGTGGATATTCTTGATTGTTGCCTGAGCAAGGATTTATTATGCCTTTGACTCATGATGCAAACCAACTCAATTTATAACATCTTAAAGAAAAATTGCTATTTAATGTTATAACTGTCATTTTAATGAAGAAGCTATTGGAGCTAAGTTAACTCTTCTAAAAGGTGGGACAATGAACAGAATTACTAGGTTTTATTAATAGCACTTCTTTTAAAGGACTGTATAACACTGATCAACTAATAACCTTATCCTCAGTACACTTGATGTATCTAGTTGCAAACATCTACTTGATGTTTGTAAAACATAATGAATCATCCAGATTGAAGAATACAATTTATCAGTGAATAGCTACCCATCCGATCTGTATACAATTCATTTGTCTTTCAGTCAGGTATAGTCTTGATTTCTGTTTGTGGAGTAGAGAAACATAAACACTCTCTAAAGGTGAAAGAAGCAAATTTTGAGTATTCAAGTCCTCTCTTTTGCTAGTAAAACTTCAACAGCATGCTATAGTGTACTATGGCATTTTTTCTCTTAACTAGCCAACTGCTAGCTCTGCATTTCAGGTGAGCTGCTTTGCAGTTGGGTCACTTTTGTTCTGCAAAGCTATGAGACTGGGCAGACTGGCTGGGTGTTTTGAACAGACAGGGAAGATAAGCACCCAAATTTATTTTGAAATAAAATGAGAGTACAAAAGGACACCCTTTTGATCTATGCTAAGAGATAATTTAAAATTATGATGCACAGAATTCTTCTACTATTCTCATAATCTATCTGCACTTGTTTCACCTTCAGGTATCTTCTACCAGAAAACCATGGGAAATTTCAAAGGGCATGCCCTCCCTGGAAGCTTTTTCCTTCTTTTTGGCTTGTGGTGGTCAGTGAAGTACCCACTGAAGTATGCCTGTCGAAAAAACAAGAATGCTTGCTACTTTGGCTCCAGGGCAGGATTTCAGCGCCTGGAGTTTGTTGAGGGTATCATCAAAGCTTTCTTTGCCCTGATTGGTAAGTGAGGTAGATAACAAAAAACGTGTACCTTTTAACACTTTTTTGTTTGTTTGCTTGTTTGTTGGGTGTTTTTTTAATTATTTATTTTGTTCTCTGATATAACATATCTCACTGTTTTTTGGTATTTTGTCCTTTAAGCACCATGAATCTATGAACTAGTGAGACTACTGTAATTGATTGCATAGTTATGACTTTAACATGGTTTTCATCCATAGTGCTCTTCTGGAGCTTCTTTAAGATCTGACTGCTTCACAGCTGGTCCACCTGAGCATGCATATGCTCTTCACTGCTTCAGGGAGGGAGGTGAGATATTTAGGCAAGGGGGTCTCACATGCAGACTGGGAGCACCAGACTGTGGCATTGCTTTCCTGGTTTGAATCCAGTTATCTCAGATATTGATAGTCTCCACTGAGTTACTGGTATAATATGTAAATACGAATTCTTCTGCATTAATATCATTTGAAAGTGATAATGTTCACAAAAAAAAACTGAACTCCAGATCTTATTGCTGCAGGACCATTGCAATAGTGTGGAGGGAAGATATTTCTCCCTCTGTTGTGGACTGGCCTGGGTGGAAACCCATGGGAATTGTTAAGTGAGCTGTGAAGCCTATTGGTGGTGCCTAGTTCTTGTTCTTCAATTCCAGCATTTGCTGAAATTCCAGTAGGCTGCATGCTAGCAAATTACCTGCAAGGATTAAGTAAGTTAAATAACAGGGAACTTGGGGAGCTCAGCATATGTAGGTCTTAAGGATCTTAATCTTTAATATTTTTAGATTTTTAGGTTCTATCTACTCTTCTTTAGATGCTCAGTTGTCTGGTTTCTAATCAAATTGCAGGCTTTGCCAAAATCTTGTTCTTGCTTTCCTGCCTCCCTGGAACTTGTATCAGTTAAGATATCACTCTGATATGCCTTAAAATGGTCAAACCCTAAAAAATAGCATTCATTTTGAGGAGTGAGTGGGGACATTGTCCTGGTTTGAGCCAGGACGAAGCCAATTTTCCTACAAATCTCCTAGTCAGTGGCTAGAGGTAGTTGGGCAGCTAAAACACTCATCTAGTGTTTTTATTTTTACCCTGAAACAAAAAGCTATTAGTTTAATGTATGGTAATTTCAATTCCAGTTAAAAACATGGGCCAGAAAGCCTGGCAAGGACAAGCAGTAAAAGCAGCAGCAGGAGTAAAACCTGCTGTTTCTGTGTTAGGAAAATGTTGAAGTAAAGGTGGAAAAACACTGCATTTGCTCTGCAGCCTATCTCCTTGTACAGCAGGATGCAGGCCCACGCTTTATAAACAGTATAATGAACTTGAATGTTTTTAAAGCAGAATGTATTTTTAACCCTTCCAAAACTCCACTGATCATATAAAGTACCTAAAAGCAGCTTTCTCCTTGTTGGAATACTGCAGCTAGTTAGCAAGACACTGAGGGGCCAAGGTAAGGGAGGTAGTGGAGCAGCAATTCAAACAGTAACTCCATATACATTCTCATGGGACCTTTAATAACTCTGCACAGTGGAGGGATTTCCTTTTATGGCTTTATAGGAAAAAATCCCTTTGAATTAGGACTCTGAACTCTGCCATTCTGCATAGTGCAGAGGACTGAAATGGTAAACCTTTCTTTTGGAGACTTTAGCATATGTTATGCTTCTGTTTGAACCACTGGGAAAAGCAGCTGAAAAATTCAGTCAGAGGACTACTACAATAGCAATTGTTTCAAAAAAACCCAACAAAACAGCAGCACAGAATAGCTGTCTCCATTTTCACTGCTGGAAACTGTAAGATGCATCAGGAGTGGAGCTGAAGCCTGATTTCCTCTGGCTTTCTCCTCTCTTGATTATGTGATGCACATGCAATACCCCATGCAATGCTACAGGCTTGGGGAAGAGTGGATGGAAAGCTGTTCAGCAGAAAGGGACCTGGGGCTTCTGATTGATAGGCAGCTGAATATGAGCCAGCAATGTGCCCAGGTAGCCAAGAAGGCCAATGGCATCCTGGCCTGCATCAGGAATAGTGTGGCCAGCAGGACCAGGGAGGTGATTGTCCCTCTGTACTTGGCATTGGTGAGGCCACATCTCAAATACTGTGTCCACTTTTGGGCACCTCACTACAAGAAAGACATTGAGGTGCTGGAGCGTGTCCAAAGAAGGGAAATGAAGCTGGTGAAGGGCCTTGAGAACAAGTCTTATGAGGAGCAGCTGAGGGAACTGGGGCTGTTTAGTCTGAAGAGAAGGAGGCTGAGGGGAGACCTCATCGACCTCTACAGCTACCTGGAAGGACACTGTAAAATGGTAGGCGCTGGTCTCTTCTCACAAGTAACTAGTGATAGATCAAGAGGGAATGGCCTCAATCTGTGCCAGGGGAGGTTTAGAGTAGACATTAGGAAGAACTTTTTCACTGAAAGGGTTGTCAGACATTGGAACATTTTGCCCAGGGAGGTGGCTGAGTCATAACCCCTGGATGTGTTTAAAAGTCATCTAGATGTGGCACTTGAGAATGTGGCTTAGTGCTGGACTTGGTGGAGTAGGGTTAAAGGTTGGACTTGATAATCTTGAAGGTCTTCTTCAATCTAAGCGATTCTAATACATGTTAGAGTTTGGCCCCTGGTCATTCCTTCAGCAAAGTAATTTACTTCATCTCTCCTCCACTCACTGCCTATTTTCTTGAAATGTATATAAAATTAATACCTTTGAGGCCTCTGTGCATTTTCACTTGAATTTGGACGTGTTAAAAACTTTATTGGGCATGGCTTAATGGGGCAGAAGGGAGCAAAACATATCAAGGACCCAGAACAATCTACAGACAGCCAGACTAAACCCCAAAGTGACTGGCATTATGCTGCATGGGAATATACTGTTGCCTTTATTGTTTGTACAAAGCCCTAACATCCATGTACGCCTTAAGCACCAAGACAAATAATTATACTTCTCGTTTCCTGTGCAGGAATGGTCGCCGAGCAGTTTGTTCCTGATGGACCCCATCTGAAGTTGTATAATTATGAGGAAAAGCACTGGGATCACTTGATGAATTGGCAACATGCCACCATGTACCTATTCTATGGCATTTCAGGGTTGGTTGACATTGTGGCTCATGGGACCAATGCATTGCCAGTGGCTATGGACAGGATGATGCTTTCCTTAGCAGTGTTTATTGAAGGTCAGTTTACCTCTCCCTGCAGAGGTGCATGTGAAACTTGTAGAGGAGTATCAATCCTTGCTCTGGGTATCTAAAATAAGCCTTAAAGAATCAGCCTACGGGAACTGGGTGTTTAAATCCCTAAAATGCTTTAAGAAAATCTGTCTTGGCCCTCCTTAAATGGCTGAGGTTTTGTCTACACTACAGCCTGGAGCACGATCACACACTGTATAGGTATATCTGTACTTTCCTAATTGGCTCAGATAATAGAAATGTTAGAAATAGATATAGAATGTTAGAAATAGAAATAGAGATGACATCACAAGCCTGTTTTGGGTAAGTGCTCAGTAGCTTGGGCATGAGGTTCAATGTACATACTGATATGGTAGGCAACTTGATAGCTAAAGCCAGTGTGAATGCAGAGCAATCCCATGTTGGAATTGCATTGGAGACACACTCAATTTATATTTTCTGTACATGCAGAACAGCATCTCTCTTGATACACTGCAGAGATAGATGAATGAGACCTTTTGTTTATGTGTTTTAAACAGAAGGTACCAGAGCTTCAGCTTCCCATGCAATTTCCTCGTATGATTTCAAGAGTGGGAGCACACATTACATAGGCATCAGTCTAAAAAAATTACTCTCAGTTCAACTGAGAAGGTGATATTGGTGTAAAGAGAAATGCTAAAGGTTCACTGTTCTCTAAAAGCAGATGCAGGGAGGTTAAAAGGGAAGAAAATATCGTAAACTGGTCACTTAATTTTATTCCAGGTTTTCTCTTTTGCTATCACCTTCATGGGAGAGCCATGCTGGATGTTCATGTTCATCAGTTATTGTTGTTTGCTGTCTTTGGAGCTGCTGCCTGCATATTCCTGGAAGTTTTCTTCCGTGGCAGTATTGTGCTGGAGATGCTCCGTACAAGCCTCTGCATATTACAAGGCAGTTGGTTCTGGCAGGTAGGTCACTTTTCTGCCTTAATAATTACTTCCTTCACCCAAATTAGTAATTTACACCTTTGCAGAAGTTTCACAGGTGATACAATATGCCTTTTAAACACAGATCTCAAAGCTTTCATAGAAAAAAAATCCATTCTTGATGTCCCTTTAAAGAGGCAGAAGTATTTCTCATACTTGTTTTACAGACAAATAAGACATTTTACTTCTGGTGTCTTTTGTTTGAGTCAATAAAAGAGCTAAAGTGGTTTTGTTGAGGTCTCCCTTGTGATTGAACATTCCCTCTGATCTCCGTAACATCCTGTTCAAAATTTGCCAGCCAAGTGGCAGTGTTTTTACAGCCCAGCAGTATATGCTGTTCTTTACAGCTGCTGAAGCAGTGAGTAAATGCCCAGCGGAGCCCTGGATGGGCCAGGCAAAGCACCCATTGACATTATGTGAAAAGGAATGAAGCTACCAATTATCTTTCATGTTGGCTGCCTCTTTCTACTTTTTAAAAAGCATTGCAACACTGGCAAGCTGAGTTGAAGAGACATTTGAGCTTCTTATTTGCATTAAGAGACTGAGTGATGTAAAGCCTCCTGCTTTTCTGGTGTTCGGGAAATCGAGCGGAAGGAACAGCCCAAACTTTTACTGTGTCTCCCAAAAGGACTCTTCAAAATGCAGTTTTCATGTCTTTGCTTACTTGTCATTCTATCCAATGAATAGATATTTAATAGCGAAGCTTTACCTGCTCTCAAAAGAGAGAGAACTTAATAAACTGCTGTGATCTTTTAACAAAGAAATAGGAGCTCTAGTGCCAATGTGTGTTTCATCTTATAGTGCAGAACTGAGGTCACTCCAGTGACTTTTCTTTCCGGCATGTCTAGACTGGCTTCCCTTTTTTATATGCTGGCCAGACACGATTAGTAAAAATGTTTGCTGTACCTTAGGAGAACTGGACACTCAGCCCCAAATCAAATATTTAAATACTTGCTCTGGCAAGAAGGCAGACCTCTGAAACAGCAGTATTTTTCTATAAGTGAACTCAAGAACCTGGTGCTGCAGCACTTGGTGTTTAATTTTCTTATTTGTAAACTTTTCTTCAATAATTTCAGAAGATTTACATAAGAGAAATTCAATGCAACCATTTATTCTTTGTTGTCTGCCTAGTCTAATTTTAGAATAAGTTATTTCTTTAGCTCTGGAGACAATGTGTTTTTTGTTTCAAAGTAAAAAAAATGAAGAACTAATAATGTAAGAGATTTAAGTGCGGCTTTTTTCACAACCACATTGGACTTCAACCATATGTGTGAGGGAAAACCACATACTAGTTGCAGCATGACAAATTCGTAAAAGGTAAAGACATTTCCTTTCTGCATCATCAACACTCTCATTCATTAAATTCTCTGCATAGAACTGCAAAATGCACTCGCTCTTCCCCTCCCTTCTCTCCTCCTCTTCCAGGTTCCTGAATTCTCAGCTAAACTGCTGAGCTTTGAAGAGTATTAGGCAGCACTAGTTTTCTGGTTTATGCACTACTCTGACTTACACCTTTCTCAGCTCTGAATAAAAAAATCAGCTATGTATTTCACATGAACTTACAGCCTTGGGTGAGAATGCTCTGTTTTTATGTAATTTCAAATCTTGACCTTTTCCCCGGATGACCAAGAAGAAATAGACTTATGGCTTGCCTTTATTTATTAATTTATTAATCATCTTCTGAACCACGTAGCACATTCCCAGATGCCATTGGGAAGAAGTGAGTCAGTGCAAATGGCCAGGCAGATTTGCTGGTTGGTGATGTGCTTGCAGTTCAGACTATACATAGCTGAACATCAGCCCCTTTCCTTACAGTACATAATTGTGATCACTGCAGGACTTTTTTGGCCCACTCCTTAATTGACTGGGCAAGAGTAGTGGTTCTCTGGACTAGCTCTGCGTCTTCAAAGGTATTTCTGCACAAAAGTGTGTAAAATGATCCATTGAATCAAAGTATTTTTAGTAATAATCACAGATACATACAGAACTATGAGAATATGAAATGCTTGCCTTGTGGTGAATATCCTAGTACATATACAGCATAAGATGTCAAATGACATTTGCTAAATATATGTATGTATTTTTTAATTATAGATTGGTTTTGTGCTTTATCCTCCAAATGGGAGTCCAGAGTGGAATCAGACAGATCATACCAATATGATGTTCCTCACCATGTGCTATTGCTGGCATTATGCCTTTGCTTTTCTTATACTTGCAGTGAATTACACAATCGTCAGCTGGTAAGTTACCTGAAACACTGAAACTATGGAGACCTGTTTATTTAGTGTAGCAAGGGCTTTGTTTCAGGAAAGTTTCATTGACAAATCAAACGGTTTCCACAAAGTAATCTATTATCTTGCAAGGTATAATAAAAACAGATATTACTAATCAGTGAAGACAACATGACTCGTTGCTGCAGTAGAAGGGGGGAAAAAATAATAAAGTACAGCTCTGATGGCATAATGATTCTCAGATAAATGAGCTCTTTGTGACAGTCCTTCACATTGGTAAACACAGAAGTTTTACAAGGAGAGACCTTTTTTTCCTACAATATCTTCTCCCCCAGTGTTCATCTCTACTAATTCCAAGTGGCTTAACCAGCAGTCTTCATGTGTTAGCTTTGAACATTATTGGATGGGTTTGATTGCTAGTATTTTCCTGTGACTAGACTTGATATCTTTTTCATTGGACAGTTTCATTCCCTAATTTCTAAAGTTAGCCTTTTTTCTTGCTGCCCAGTGTTAATTCTGACAAGATTTCAACTGCAGAGTTAGGCTGGTTGTAAAAATGAGCCTGATTTTGCCATGTGTGATCATCCATGCAGGACCTTACCAAGCTTTTGCCAGGCCTGCCCTAAACATCCTTTTCACATCTTGCTTTACCCCTACCATCCTAATAGCCCTATTTAATCTTGCTTTGGCCAAATTTAGTTCCTGCAGCCTTGCTTGGCACTGAGGAGATGCCAAATCTTTTTGGATTTCAGTCCAAAAGACACTGACACTCACATCTGGGTAACTGGTTTGTTGTGTTAAGAATAACAACCATAGAGAAGGTGGCAACAATCTTACATCCCATTCTGATGCTGGGAATGGCAGCTGCTGCAGGGTCAAACAAGCCTCCCCTGAGTTGATCCGAGTTCCCATCCTTGGGGAGGTTGACCAGACTCATTTTTCTTCACAGATTTATAGTATTCTTCCAAGTGAATGCAGCTGTCTGTCTTGTACTTGCACAACATGGAACTTTCTAGATGTTACACTGAGGTCTGTGTAAGGTGTACACTCTTAGATGTGTCCATAGGAACAAGTTCTTACAAGCAGTACATATGGGTGGTATTGTTACAGGCAGCACATATGAATGTCATGGTACATGAAGGCATTGTGCAGCAGTCACTCATGCTAAAATACAGTTATCCACAATTAAGGCCTGGTGTAAAATTCTGCCCAGAAGCTGTTTGAAATCACTATCTCCTCTTTACAATGTCTTCCCCATTCTAATTCTTTGCTGAAATGCAAGAGTTAAACAGTTTTTACCATGTAAAAATGGCCTGATGAGCCTTTGTGTTACTATTGACAACTCTTTTTTTGTTGTTTGTCTGTTTGTTTGTTTGTTTCTAGGACAATTCGTTCAAAGGTCAAACAGTCCCAGTCTATGGAAATGGGATTACTGAAAACATCTGAAAGAGACCAAGAGTCAGAAGATGAAATTTAGTATGAATATGGCTTGACTATCTTATCCACTCTACCATTAGGGTAACTGATACCTCAATTCTAGAGTTGCTTGTCATCTTATTAATTCTGTATTACAACTTATTATATAAATATCATCTTTATTTGTGAAGGGTAAGCTTGATATCAGTTTGTGATGGTACCTTTAGTACCTTGCTCATCAAATGCTTCAGAGAAAACCAGACTAATACTAGACAGACTTAGCCTGGATGGCATGATGAAGTCTGTGTCTTTGCCTCATTAAAGGTTAAGCAAAATGAATGGACTGTGAAATTTCCATAGTTAGGGTGTCCAAATAAGTGTGTTTGTTTCCCTGGGAGTAACTGTGCATAAATAACTTTGCAGACCTGGAAAATGGTAGAACAAGATAAAAAAATTAGGAGTCTTTCAGCTGTCTTGTGTACCACTTTCATGTCTCTGCTAATGGCTTGATGTTAAATGGAATGAACTACTCACTGCAAACTCATTCAGTGTTTCCCTGAAGAGTATGTAGTGTGTTCACTCCTGCAGGGACACTACCAAGCTTTGTACCAAAGAGCTGTATGTTGATCAAAAATCATAGCTGTTCTTCATTCTCATGCATAGATAGTCCTGTTTCTTTGCTATAATTTGGTTTAGAAAGGCAATGAAGTGACTCTGCTTTCCTTCAGCTCCTGGAACAACTTCTGGAAAGGCCAAGGGGTGTCCAAGGAGGTGGCACCCAGCTACAAAGCCAATTTCTTTTCCAAAGTTCTTTTCTTTACTTGGTGGAATTTCAGCAGAGTTCATAGCAGACACACGGCTGGACCCAGTACCTGGGACAGGAGTGGGTAATGCTGATCTGTGGGCAGGATGAAATGGACTTGCTTCCTTTTCCTTGTGTTGCCCATGCTTCTGCCGCTGCAAATGTCAGGCAGCCTGTACAGTGCTGCATAGTGAGTTGCAGGAGGGCAGGTGTTGCCTTCATAGTAGCTCCATGCCCAGTGACCCACAGAAGTGCGACTTAAAAAAATATAATACTTTTAAACTACAATTTTTTTTCTATACTGTAACTGAAGTCTTGATCCAGTGGCAAAGAAAGTGCCCCTCCCAGGGCTCAGTGTTGCTGGGGCTGCTCTCCAACCTCAACAAAAGGGAAAGAACTGATACATGGCAAAACACATCAGAAAATGATGTTGTGTATAAGGACACTGCCCCTACAGAGCAGACTTCTGAAACATTGCTCTGGCTCTACACCTTTTGAAAGGCTTGCACAAGCAGATGGGCAGGAGGGAACATTTGCTGTGCCACTGCATGTATGCTCTGCTTTCCAGAGGGCTGAACATAGGATGAATGCTGGTGGCCGTGGGCCATTTTACATATCCGACAGTGCTAAAGGGATCATTCTGAAGAACAGCCTTTCCCTTTAAAACACTTTCTAAAAACTTTATTTTCTAATTATTTTCAGAAACAGGTTGATGCAGAACAACAAATTCTGTTCAAATAGTACCAGTATGTCAGTTTCGGTGCTGCAGAAGTGTGTTCCTTCTATTATTTGAGATTTTTCAGATGCTTCTAAGGAAATGCAGAGCTGGACTCTGGTAGATGAACAAGAGCTGCAAAATCTGGTGCCTCTACTTTTGAATTTCCCCAGTGTTTTTCTTTCCAGTGTGAACCAGAAGAATGAGTAGCATGAAATTATTAATTACAGTAAGTTGATTGCCTAAAAAGATAAGCAATAAAATAGTTTGTACTTCAAAGGGATCACAAGACTCAGAAGGAAAAAAAAAAAAAAAAAAAAAGGCTTTTTCTAAAGCTATTTCACACATTCGCTTCATTTTTAGGACCTACTTTTTTCCTTCTCTTTTCCAAGGAGCCACTTTCCTTAGTTGCACAAGCTGTTAAAGGTGAATTTTAGACCGCTGAGCTTATCAATGGCTTTTAAAAATCAATGAGGTATTTTATTATGAAGAAGAGCTTCAGAAAGTACTTTGCTTCTCATAGGCAGGAACAATGCAAGTTTCTTCACTGCTTTTCTTGATAAATTATATTTAATAGTGTACAAGCATTAAGGTGCTGTACCTCTAACAGGATAACCTAAGCAGGAAGAAAAGCCAGATAAACTGGCTGAGCTTTGATATGTCTTCTTAGAAGACTTCAGTTGGCAATTTAAAAAGTATTTTAGGCCTTTGCCAAGTACCATGAAGTGACACTTGTAACCAGGTTACAGATTATCCAGATGAATCTACATTGGAAAGCAACAGCAGTTGGTTCACAGACATTTCTAAGGTTAGAAATGTAAAATGGGAAAATGCAGATGCATAGCCAAAGATCACCACTTTTCTTAACAATTGTTTGCCCTTCTTCAATGATTTTTCTCTCAAGGACATTGGAGATTTTGGCAATCTTAAATGAAGTTGTCTCAGGACAGCCTTGTAAGCAAGGTATCAGTATGACATTTTTGCAGTTTTGTAGCACTGTGTCTCAGCTTTGGAGTGTTCTCACTGTAAACTCTGTATTAAATTATATTCACTCCACTCTGCAAATCTTAGACTTGAGTTTCATTACTGTAGTTCCAGTAAAATCAGGTTTTCTGTTGGCAGAAGCCATAATGAAGATCCATGGCTTTGCCAAAGAGCTTGCCTGTTAAGTGCAGCAGGGATACATTGGCCAAATGCAGCATGTCACTACACCCAACTATAATCTTACCTTCATTGCACCACATCACTCTTGTCCCTAAACTGTTGGGATTGTTTTAAAGGGCAGAATTTTTTTTCCTTTTAGCATGATTGGAGTATAAAGCTTCTGCAGTTCTGGGAAATGAAAACAGCAGTTACATGTCAAAGAGAACTTGGGGATTACTCCAAAAGTCTGTCAGGATAAGCCAAAATCAGTTGATAAAGTGAGTCTCCTGGGATTCCACAACCTGAGTGAGCTGTGAATGCTGAGGGTGCTTAGCAAACTCCCCTTCAGAAAAAAACTGCTTTTTCAGAAACAAAAAGTGCCAGTACCCAAATGTGATGACCAGAAGAGAGGCTGCCTGCCACTCTTCCTCCTGTGACCACCTTAGCTTGGTGGCTCTCGCTCCATTTTTACCTGCACCAGGGCATCAGCCCAGCAGTGGCTGTTGGTCATGCATATTATTGGGAAAAACCTGAGCAGGACTAAGCCTGCTAAGAGGTAACACCTGTATCTCCCTCTGTGTCGCTGCTGTGAAGCTCCCTTAAATGATCAGAGAACTGGATGAATAAGCCCATCAGAAACACCTCCTGGTTTTGGTGTACCCATGCTTAGCAAAGATGCCTTTAAAGAAGCACAGCCTGGAGGCTAATGCAGTTTGTGACACAGAACTGTAGAGCAGGCTTCTCACAAAAACTCTTTCTTTGCGTAAGAGAAGAAAGATTATTGCATTAATAAGCTTGAAGAAATGCAAGGAAAAACAGGTATTGAAGCCTCAAAGAAACAGTAGTCTCTTGGATTTAATTTTTAATACTTACAGAGTGAGTGTCTCAGTGGGGATTTGTACCTGATGTATTTTTGGTACCACAAAAGAAAGAAATACCCTATTTTAGGGTGAGTTACTGTTAAGTGGAAGACCCGACCCATTCTTCTCTGGCACTGTTCACAAGAGATATCCAGGAACAGTAAGATTTTTAATATGATGGAAAAGGTACAACCTTCAGCATCTCATGAGCAACAGATTATGCTTGAGTTGAATGAGTGGAGGGAAGTCTGACAAGTTTACAAATGCCACTCAGAAAAAGGTAGCTGCTCTCAAGAAATTTTAAATTATTGATAAATATCGGTGCTTTTGAAAAACTATATGGTAGTTTATAATAGACAAGGTATGCCTGTAATTTTATATAAATAAAATTGATTTATTCATATAAGATGTCTGTCATGTTTGCGGGGGAAAAAATATAATCATTTCTGGGGCAGGATGGGGTGGGATAGACCTGTTACTTTCATAGCCCACCCAGATGTTTGAATGAGTCACACTTGAATTCAGGAAAGGTCAGTGCTGCCTTGTCAAACTCCCTTGCTTCTACTATTTGATTTTAATTTACAACACGGGTGAAAGCAACTCTTTTGAGGTCTGGGCAGTATAGCTTTACAGAACCACAAAGGTCAAATGCTGAGGAAAAAGGAGGTTCCAGATTTGGATTTGGTCTCCTGTGTCATACCAGATGGAGCTGCCAGCAAGCCAAGTAAAAAGAATTGCATGAACAGGATCTTTCTGTTTTGATAAGCTTAATAATAAAAATATTTAAGATTTTGAGTTTGCTCCCTTTTTCCTTTAAAGAGAAAAACAAAACCCTTTTTCTGCTGTAAGATGAAAATGCATTCTGAAAGAAAAAAACTGACATAGTTGAAGAAATGCTGGCAGAAAGAGAATTTGTTCTCTTCATAAGGTCCACCAGATCCTAAAATTAAAATTAGGGACTATAATTTTGGCTACTCCTAGACAGCATTTTGGGCATAAATTGATCATTTGTTATAGACCGTAGTCCCATGGCTTGCTTTCATCATGACATGGATTTGATACACCTTTGTTACTTGTTTGACAGTTTTTTTTGTCAACTATGGACAACTTCAGTTGGGCTGCACTAACCTGTACAGAAGAAAACGTCTAAACTTCTCCAGGACCAGGTAAGGAAGAGAAAGCCAGCACTTCCTAATTTCCTATTTCATCTGGTTGCTCAAAAATCTGAAAGAATCATAAAATCATTAAAGACTTCTAGGATCAAGTCCGTCAGCCTCACCATCCCACTAAAACATGTCCATAAGTGTTCACATATGTCTTTGGGTTTTTGGTTTTTTTTTTGTTGTTGTTTGGTGCGGTTTTCTTTTGTTTGTTTGTTATGTGTTTTTTGATGTTGTGGTTGTTCGTACGTTTGTTTTCCTGAAAACTACCGATCAGTATCTTTAAAAATCTAGAAGTAGCTGTGGAGCTGGGGTCAGCTATTTCCAACCAAATTGCTGGCATGGCTGCTCACTGTCATGGTTGACCCCAAGAAAAACCTGGCGACAGGCTGCATGCCCTCTCCCATCTCCCATTTGTGCTACCATAAAAAAAAACACGTTGGCATTGTCTACGTGTAAGGCAAACCAGCTTCAGTGTATGGCAGAAACTTGGCTCTCAATAAGAAGGTGTTTCCTCCTGTGGGGATGACTCAGGACCTCATGGTTGCATTGATGTTGGTATGAGGCATAGAAGGAAGCACTTATGCAGCATATGACGATTCTGGTTTTGGGATGGCATTGCCTGAGCCCAAGAAAGCTCACTCAATGTTGTCAGCAGGCCATGAAGGAGACAGTAGCCCAAAGGAAAGGAGGCTGAAACCATACCCTGGACAACCAGGAAACAAGATGTCCTGGTGGGGAAAAAGAACATCTTCAACATAGCAGCTTAAAGCTGCTCCTGCAGTTTCTGAGTCCTCAACCACCCTACTGGGTGCACCACCAGCATTTTAGTCTGGAACATGAGAGCTCTTTGGACCCCACCCACTCATCCTAGCTTAATTGCCAAGGTTTGCACCACAGAGAGGAGCCAAACTGTGGGAGCTGGAGTCCCTTCATAGGAAGTGAAGTTTGATGGTGCACTCCAGCATTGCATCTTACGTGTTCCAAGCACTAATGGGCATCTGCCTCCCTGGGACAAAACTAGTCACAAAATGCCTGTAGCATGGAATGCTTGTGCTATAGACGTTTGCTCCTTTGGCACCACCAATAGAGGCACACGCATGGGTAACGTGAGGAGTTTGTCTGGCAGGAGGGAAGATGAATGGGTTGAATGTGGCTTTCTCTTAATTACGTTATCTGCATCTCTGGACAGCTTATTAACTGTGATATTTGTTCTATATTCTATAAATACTTTATTTTTCTTGTTTCTATACCTAGCTTGAACTAAGTAAATTTGGTAGCAAGGTTTCAATCCTACAGGTTCATTCATCCTTAAAACAGAGGCAATGGAAAACTTTGGGGTAGCTGGTACCTTAATGTCCTCCTCCTACATGGTTAAATTCTTCTGAACTACAGAAGCTGGGCTAGTAGTTACTGGTACAGAAGTCAGTGGAAGAAAACAGAATAGCTTTTTATCCAAAAATCTCTTTGACATGTGCAGTAGTGGAAGTAAGCTTGACTCCCAAGGACTGCACAACAGCACATCTGTTAAAAGGGAGAAAGACAACTGGAAAATTGCTGGGAACTTGCTTTAAAATCTATTCTAGGTAAAATATGTCCTTGCTCAAAATATGTGGGAGTAGAAAGCCTAATATTTGTCAAATGAGGCATAACTAGTCCTCAGATGACTTTTTCAGAACAGCAGTTTCTAACACCTTGCTATGTAATTGTTGCAGTTCATGGATTTTTATATTTGGCACACTTCTTAGAATGCAAATACATTTAAATAGTAGCTGAAAAACATAATTATGAATAGTACAGCATGCTTTGCAATTTGAGTCAGGAATAAAGCTGTTATGGACTTATATGGACTGCTGGCATTTAATGACAAAATACTTTGCAGAGCATGGTACCTAAGAGGTCAGTATCACAGTAAGGACATGGATTTAGATCAGAAATGGTTACACCTACATACTGTGGGTACCAGTCCTTGCCTCCCTGAGGAGGACAAAGAAGAAATGGAAAATAGACTGTAAATCTGTATGACTGAACAGCAATTAAGTGACTAGAAATCACTCCCAGCGCTCTCAGACTATGGGAGAGGAAGCTGCTCTCAAGGAATATGGCATTCCAGTATGCCTCCAGCAGAATGTACCAGGGAAAAGGCTCTCAGACACACTCCAGGATTATTATGGCTCCTGTGCAGCAGCCCCAGGAGCAGTAATGCTGGTTCCCTGCTCCCAATAGGAATGACAGCAGGAGTGAAAGCTTGCAGCACTGTGCTGCAACTTCACCGGTTTGTGACTCTGACTCAGCCAGATGAAACTGACACATAAAAAAATGTCAGAGATGGTGTTTACTGCTGGCACCATGCTTTATTCAGGCTTGAAAACACAAAAAGAAAGGAGACAAGAAACATCTGGCTCTAATTAAGGCTTAAAAGAAATGGAGGAAAGCAAAAGAAACATATCTAGTCACTCAAGAATGGTTTTATCCTCACAGCTGCATCACATACACAAATTTGCAAATAATACGGTTTTCTTTCAGTTTGATTATTCCATAATATAAACATAGTTAAATATTTTCACAAATAAAACTGTACTATCCTTTTGGGTGTGTTTATTGATTTGTTTTGGTTTTACCATCTGGTTCCTTCTGTAATTTTTTTTTTCCTTTACAGTTTACATAAAATATTCATGTGAAGTTAGAAGTTCCAAATCTTTTTTTTCTCAAAATCCTGCTTCCACTTCCCAGTTGACAAGCTTTCTTCCCCTTGAAAGCCTGGGCTTGTAACACAGTGTTTTGAACTCACAGTATTTTATATATCTAAATGCAACATGCTGCTCAAAGAAGTCCATGATGATGTTAGCTATGCAAAGGAATGAAGCAGGGATGTTATTCCCATTGAATAGAAAGGGCTACGTCAATAACCAAAATAATTAATTCTTATTTCTTCCCTAATTTGCAATTCACAATTTTCTGCAAGTATGCAAGGTCCCTGCTTTCATCTAGCAGCATTTTTATAAGCAAAAAACCCAGATCTGTGATTAAGAAGCTGTGTATGCTTTAAAAATACTGTAAACCTCAGACTTAGTTGTATATTGAATGTAGCTTAACATTGCTGAACTGTGACTCAGTTTCCCCATCTTCAAGATCATGCTTGGTTCTGCTTTGCTCCGTAGAAATCCTGTGCAGGGATGGGTGTCTTCCTATGTGTCTTTTAGAACCAGTTTAAAACTCTAACCCCAGGAAAGCAAACATTTAACTGCTTATGGCAAGAAACTGTAAAGTAATTAACACATGCAGGGGTACTAAGCGTTCTTTGAGTGGGAGGACAAGGAGGAAATGTTTCTCCCCAGCTGAGAATTGTGGTTGTTCACTATTTGAAAGCAGTGAGATAGCTGGGGCTCACAGTGGCCAGCTTGCCTGGGTGACTCTGCAAATGCTTCCTAGCCTGTGGGCTGGCTGGGAAGTGGGATGCACACTAAGGCCAGCCCTGGAGCTGTACCATCCAGCCTCCACCCATGGCTGCTTTCACTCAGCAAAGGGGCACTCCTTCTGCCCTGCCCCACAGAGCCCCATTTCTGCCCATTTGATGAAGAAAGACTGCCAGTGCCTCTGCATCCCCCTGGGGGGAATTTCACTTTGGCGTTTTATGGAGTTGAAAGGCTCAAACATCCCTCCTGTGCCAGGGAGGCTGTTTCCTCCCACCCTCAGACTCCATCCCACTCATCAGCCAATCCCAGAAGTGAGTGCCTTTTACTAATTCTCTTTTTTTCCCCACTCCTTTCTGGATGAATCACATGTCCTGGGATTCTGAAGGTAAAGAATTTATTCCCAGTTGTGCCATTGCCTGCTGAATGACCATATTTTATGGCGGAGGTGCACAGAGGGGATACAACAGGGCTCTGCACTGCCAGTCCAGATTATGCATTGTGGAAATGCCATTTACTCTCCTGAAAGTGTGTGACAAGTGCCTGATCTAGGTCAGTCCTAAAGCAGCATTTCCAGCTCCTCTCAGCACAGCAGG